TGTTAATTTTTCCAGGGAACTGGTTTGCAAGCTCAGTCCGTGTTCAAGGAGAAACTCACTTTCAGACCTCACTCCACATCCAGCCAGACACACAGAAAGATGACGTTGTCTATTGCTGACCGTGCGTCCAAAGCACAGAAGATTAGGGTACTTCCAGCAGCTGGTATGGATCCTGAGGCACAGAGGTCAGAACTTATCAAGGTGAGAACTTCTATTATTTACAAGTTACTATGTAAACTCATCAGACATACAAGGGAACGAAATGACTGTGAAAAATTATGCTTTGTAGATATCAATTAGCTGGGAAGTGCGATGAAAAAAAAACTAGATTCAAAATGAAACATCTAGATTTTTTGCTATGTGGAAAGAATCCCCTGGCTACAAAGATTGCTATTCTCAAAAGAATCAAATGGGATATTTCATGGACCAAAATTAATAAGTTATGAGAATTTCAGACTGCAAGGGATGAATTTTTTTGACTGCTTGCTGACTGCTGGGTATCTAGACACATTACAAGAAAATTTATCAAATTAGGGAATTTTGGCAGACTTTAAGGAGAGGGGAGGCACTCATCTTGTTTTAATTAACAGTAGTGTGATGAGATATTTTAGGATGGTTTATTACTACTGTACATATGTGGACCCTGTATGAAAATATGTTTTCCCTCTTACCAACCAGAAAGAAGATGAGAGGCTCAGAACCCAGTTACGTCGGGAAAATCAGCAGCGTAGAATGAGAGAGAGAAGCCAGGCAAAGGGCCTGAGTACCAGCTTCCTTGAACCTGATCGTTATGACGATGAAGGAGAAGATCTGGAACAGAGTTTGTTGGCCATAAAGAAAAAGTACAAGAAAAAGCTAGCAGAAGGTTAGTAATAGTAATGTAGTGTTATTAAGGTCATTGAGTGAAAAAACAAAAAACAAAAAAAAACAAGGTAGATAATGAGCCATGTAGTAATGAGTAATGACATGATTTTGTTGAACAATACCTAATAAATATAGAACTACTGTAATAAAACAAGTCCTTGTACTTGCAAGAACCTGTCTTTGTGTAAGTTTGGACATCACAATAAGAATCAATGTGTACTACAGTAATTGTGTCAGTTGCAGTTGATAAAAAAAATTATGTCTGTACAATGTAGTAGTATACCTAAGTACTGTTGTTAAATTCATATTTGTGGCAGATCCAGAGGTGCTAAAAGGGGGCAGGATTGAAATGAAATGGATACTTTCTTTCGTTAAAAAGGGGCCCCCTGAGTGACAATTGGAGGGGGGATTTTCTTATATTTGAGGCTTACAGAGGGAGGTGTGAACTTCAAATTGCTCGAACATTTGTGTTGTGTTGTAGGATTTGCAAGTGAATCAGATGAAGCTGAAGAAAGTGACGGAGCAGGAGGATTAGAGAGTGATGAAGATGAGGAAGGAAAAGAGAGACTGTTGAATGCAAAGGAAGGCATTGAAGATGATGCACATGAAGGAAGAAAGAGGACTGGCAGTGAAGATGGAAACACACCGAGAAAGAAGAAAAAGAGTCGACAGATTGTTGAAAGTGATGAAGACAGTGATTAGTAGTGATAAATGAATACACAAGTGAAGGTGTGCATTCCTGGTAGAGTGAATTGTTGGAGAAAACAGAAGGAAAGACCAGCCATGATTTGCTGCTCATGATTGCACTGACGTTTGAAATCATGGCAGCATGAACTACACAGAAAGACATACAGGCACTGGGAAACATTGCAAGAAAAGGCCAAAGACAGTTGTTTTAGCTATAATGGTTTTACTCAAACATGAAAAA